CAAAACGCTGAGAACTTTCCAGACACTTTCTAGACCTAATACGTAGGCTGCCTTTTATATTTCGGGATTCGGCAACCCCAGTGTTGCAGTCTGGCAGCTGACAGCTCTATCGTAAAATTTGACCTTTTTGAGGTTATATGTACTCAGAACATTTTGACATTTGAGCGCTCTTTGTGTTGTTTACACTAGCTTTAACTATTTTGGTCGCCGTTGGTGAGGACCAACACGCGAACAATTTTTTTGACAGTCAAATGTTCATGCAATATTGAATGTATGCTGGTCCCCTTGAAGCTTAAAGACAGCTCCCGCGATAAAAGTCTCATGGATAGCTGCTTCCCAATTTATGAAACAAGCACAGCGGATTAAGTAATGCTCAAAGAAAAAACATGGCAAGAAAGCGTTTCCAGAACACATAAACAACAAATCGCTCCCTCACAGTTACACCTCCCTGCGGTCTCTGTGCAGCCCTAGCCTCACATAATCTCTCTATCACATACTCGCAGTTAGTGTGATATCATCTAGTGCCCAAAAGAAAGAATACAAAAAGAAAACAACAAAAACGCCGAGGAAAACTCTGGGAAGAAAAAGGATTTTATCACACGGTGTCTGAATTTGTGATTACGGTTTAGCGCGCACCTTTTGTGCGTCGTGGTTTTACATCACGAAAAATTGCGTCACTCTGTTTTTTACCGAGTCTTCACTCGCGAAAAGGATTGAATTAATGTATTATACCGTTCCAATGACGTAAACTGTAATGAGGATGAGCAGAATTATCTAGTCGGCATTAGCAATGCCCGCCGCCCAACTAAGAACACAGTAGGTGGCCTCCGTTCAAGACATCTGCAAGTAAGGCGCGTCCGACTGAGGAGGAGTTAGAACTAGCACTTTGAAGCGGGCTGATAGCAGCCTCTCACGCTCACTAATAGCTGCGAAAGGTGGACATCTCATAGCTTGAGGGCTAGTAGCTACTATGCACAGCAAAGGCGCACCACCGAGCCAACTTCTGATCGCGGGGGTGCGTCTTTAAAGCTGTCTCGGACCAGCCATACATTCAATATTGCATGAACATTTGACTAGTCAAAAAAATTAGTTCGCGTTGAAAACCAAACATGTTGTCCTCACCAACGGCCGACCAAAATAGTTTAAGCTAGTGTAAACAACACAAAGAGCGCTCAAATGTCAAAATGTTTTGAGTACGTATAACCTCAAAAAGGTCAAACTTTACGATAGAGCTGTCAGCTGCCAGACTGCAACACTGGGGTTGCCGAATCCCGAAATATAAAAGGCAGCGCTCGTAGATGGTAATCCAGCCGCGGCCCTTCCCAGCAATTCCCAGCAAATGCGTCTTTGATCGTTAATAAGGGGTCGCACTTCCCTGACGTGGAATATATGACTTGGAGATATGACTTAAAGAAATGGATTAATGCTTTTACTGTCTCTGCTGCAAAACACAGCCCCTGCCCTTTTCTGCTCCCCCGTTTCCCCCCCCCCTTCCTGAGATCTGATAAGGAAAGCATAGGCAAGGAAAAGGAATAGGTGAAGTTGGAGGTTGACGGTAGAAATGGTATTACACACAGAAGTTCTCATCGAGTGTGCTGGTCTCGACCAGGGTACAGTGCCGAGAAGTTTCAAATGGTTGTATCCACACAAACCCTCCAACCCATCCGCCCCTTTCTGCCAAACTTTCTACCCTGGTATGACTTACCAGGGTAGAAAGTTTGGGAGGAAGGGGCGGATGGGTTGATATGTGTGGATACAACTTTCTTAGTACTTATCGAATTTAATCGGAATAAGCACCGTTCGAATCAGCACTTTTGCCCATGTGACACCACTCGATAAACATGGGTGTTAACAAGAACAATCAAAGACAGACTCATACGTGCACAAAGATGGAACGTCGCATGGTAGGAGTACGTCTTCTGGATCATAAGACAAATGCCTGGTGGTGTGACGAAAGTTAAGGATGTGGTGGAGAAAGCCTTGGAAGTGAGTTACGCCGGGGAAATGGCCGGTTCAAGCAGAAATAAGTGGTCAAAACTGCTCACAGAATGACACCCATACTTGCGAAGACGGATTTGACGACCGAAATCCCGATGGAGAGATGAGTTTAAGAAAGTGCTGATTACGTGCAATAAATGCGGCAAGATGCATGACGAAGAAGGAATGGATTGATCTAATGAGGTGCCACATATTGAAAAATATTGACATGGCAAATAAATAAAATAAAATAAAGTAACTCACCGTCGGCTCGCCGGCTAACGCCGGCGCGCTCCTTCTGATACAGACCGGCTGCGCCACGGGCGGGCATCGCGCGCGTACTTTCTTTCACCTATTTCTAGACTCAACTGATATCCGCCTTTTGTTCTGTCTCCCACTTTTTTCCGGTGTCTGAAGTACTCTTGAGCTATTTTGCCCACAATCTTTCACCGGCGACCCCTTGCTGACCTGAATTCACTTTATTCCGGTCTTCGGAGTGCTCTGGAACCATTTTACAGACCTTTTTGTCTGACTCCGCCCACCTCGGGCTGGCCCCGCCCACAAGATGTATACCCCACATTTCTCAATCGGCGACCCCTTGCTGACCTGAATTCACTTTATTCCGGTCTTCGGAGTGCTCTGGAACCATTTTACAGACCTTTTTGTCTGACTCCGCCCACCTTGGAGCAGGCTCTGCCCACAATGTTTTTGCCCCACAATCCTCACCGGCGACCCTGTGCTGACCTTAGTCCTTTCTTCCGGTGTCTGGAGTGTTCTGGAATCGAGAAGCCCCACCCACTTTTGAAAATGGTTTAAATCGGCAGTATAGGTCTTGGCTTTCACGCTAGAGTCTCGTTCGTCACTCGGAACAAGAAAATCAGGCAAAGTTTGTTCCGGGTGATGAACAAGACCCTAGCATGAAAGCCAAGACCCTATACTGCCGAATTACACCAATTTCGAAAAGTGGGCGGGATTTTTACAAAGTGGGCGGAGTCTCCAACAGTGGGCGGGGCTTCACGCAGCAGTCAAAAAATGCAAAAATTTTGACAACATATCAAAATTCCGCAAAAAGAAAGTGGAGGCGGCGGGGCCCGCAGTAGTGCCCGGCGTGATCTGGTAGATGACTTACGCAGCCTAATAAGTGTGGTGAATTCAATTTGGAAGGTGGGTGAATTTGCTTTGAAAAAGGATGAATTTGGCTTGGAAACGGGTGAATTTAAGATGAAAATGGTATATAGAGTGACTCTTCCCCATGCCATCAGCTACCCAACTACCACTAATGGTTGTATGGTAGTTTTGCGTGCGCCAACCAAGGCAGGTACCGAGACGGGAAAAGTTGGAAAAAGTCAACAACTGGGGAAAATATCATCGTGGCTCGTAACGGAGGGTGTGTGACTAGACAATCATAATATGCCAGCCGGTGGGCGCTGCGAACTCGCCCTCGATAGAGGTGTTCTCCCGTGCAGATATCTGAAAATGAGTGCCGACGGGATGACAATATTGTTCCTTATGGAGTGTTTTCGTGCCACACAATGCGCCGCGCGTCACGACGGACAGCTTACGATTGTCCTGTCCACTTCTTACCCTCCAGGAAGAGAGATGGACAGTAATTAAGCACCATAGCCGTACTTACTTGTAACTCAGATAAACAGTGTTTGATTCCATTCATTCATTCATTCATTCATTTATTGCATGAGCGAACTCATGTGGCTACACATCAGAGTACAAACGATGAAACAGAACATCCGAGAAAGTCCCGCATGGGGAAGAAACAAAAATACCACAAAAAAATTTTTAAATGTGTAAATGTTATCAAAATAAAACAGAGAAGAGCCGTTCAAAAGAAAGGTGTAAGAGAACCCATCATCATCATTTATCCAGATAGCAATCGATAAGCTTGCTAAAGGTGTGACTGTTGGTGGGAATAGGTATCTTTTTGCTTAGTGTTGAGTATAATACGCCTGCACGCACTGCAAAAAAGTGAACGCGAACATTGAATTTAGCTGTTGGCCTAACCAATTTGACTGCACCACCCCTGGTAACTGAGGATCTCACAGTGTAGAACGATCCAGGAGTAAGACCAGTACGGCCGTGGATTATTTTGTGGAACATTACCAAGTCAAGCTTCTTTCTCCTCCAACGAAGTGATCGGAGACCAAGGGTGGTGTTTCTTTCGGCATAGTTGGGGATGTCCCTGTGACTATATCCCACTACTCTGATCGTAAGTTTTCTTGTGAAGCTGTTTTGAACTTTCTCAATCAAGTCTATATACTTCCGCTTGTGCGGACAACACCACTGTACCGTATTCGAGCAGAGGCCTGACATAAATTTTGTATACAAAAAGGAGAGTAGAGCAGTCACTAGTTGTAACTTGTAACTTAACTTGTAGTTTCGGAAACCATGCTGATTTGGTAAGGTAATGAGTTGTGTGTGTGTTGTTGTTGTGTTGCTCAAGATGCCTCTCAATTGACTTCTTCAAATTTTCTCGAAAAGCCTTGCAAAAATAGAAGTGATGCTGACTGGACGGAGGACAAATTCCATTTCTTGGGTACAAAAGCACTCATAAAACTGAGATTAAACAGAAGCTCAAGAGGACCAGCAATAATGTGAGCGATGGGCTTGATGAAGGACAAGGGCACGTGGTCAGGAGTATCAGAGGTGGAGCAGGGCCACTCAATGAGAAGCTGGTAGATCTCGTCCGCACTAAAGCGAGTAGAGGTCGGTCATGGTCGGAAAGGACGCAGAGCAAGAGGAGGTGTTGAGGGCGCTAGGAGGATTGAAAGCTTTTGCAAAGGTATCAGCTAAGAACACAGATTTCTCACAGTCCGTTCGAACAATACTATCATCCCTTTGAGGACACCCATCCAGGGACGTTCGCAAGGTATTGCGTTGAGTAAACGATATAAGGCTCGCTCATCACCAGACCCAACCACCTTCCTTTGGATAAATCTATTGTACTTGCGTAATTTCTTGTCGAAGGTGGCAGCAATGGAAAGATAGGATTCCAGATAGGTGGCTGTATCATGTTCTACAACCTGTACATTTCACGGTATCGCTGTCCTCAGAATGTCGCCGTTTCTCCAGCTCCACCAAATCGAATCATTCTATCAGTCCAGAACCTTGACATCGGGTAAGTATCCTTGTTGTTGTGAAGTTGGGCCACAAATATTACGATTTTGCAGAATTACTGGTAATCTTGGAGGTCAAATAGTTTTTCTGTCGCCAATTGGGCTCTTCGGGATCATACAGATTAACCTCTTTCGGGTGAGTTCCCAAGATATTTCTCGCTTCCGAAGGCAGTTCTTCTGTTTGCGGGGTGTTGACGTATCGGTCGCGCGGCGGCCTGTCTCCCAAACGCGATTTGAACCAAAATGAATCTAATAAAAACAAATCGCAGCTGCGCGCATCGGCCACGAATGACCTAGTAACTACTTTCCATTTCCAACGGAACTGGAGCTCTACATGCTGCTGCTACATATATCTTCTTTCTCCATAACGAACACACTCTTTCAACCTGAGTCGCAAAGTAGTGGCGTGTATCGACCCACTAACTAGACGCAACCGCCTGCGCGCACGACCTAATTTTTATCCAATGAATATCATTTGCATTTACCTAGTCTTTCACCTCTGAAACTCTTCTGAATCAGGCGCTGAGTCGACCTTACCCCCCCCCCTCCCTCCAGAGCAAATCATAGTGCGGTTGATGCGAAGGAAAAAAATTTTTTTCAAGGTGTCGATCAACGTGGAAATCGCAATCGAACGTGAAGTAAGTGGTCCATATGTCAGATTGCTGTCATGCAACCTACAATTAGGATATGCTGATGTTGGCATCGAGAAGGGAGGCCGCATCGGTGACCTCGTCAACTCGGCTGACTTCAGAGTAAGCTGACTAAGCGTTTTTCAGGTAATCCAAAAATGATCTATGCAAAATCAAAGAGAGGAGCACATCGGGTTGTGGATCACTGCTCATGTTGCTAAATGTGTCTCGAATTAGTTACTGGTTGAATAAGTCATTGAAGAGCGCAGTACACTGCTCATCTCCAGAATCTGTACATAATTGGCAGATTTTCAAAAAAGTCACTATTGGGGAAATGCCAAGTTGAAAGCATAGAAATAGGCTCATAGACCTTCTTAAAGGCAAGGCCCAGGGCGGTCGGTACAGTCCTCATCATTACGGACTGTCGGGGCGGCACAGCCGCGCTGCGCTGTGACGCGACCTCGGTTGCGGATTGGTGACAGGGAAGCAGCTGATTTCCATGGAAATCGGCTGCGATTCCCACTTTTCCAGTTCTTTAGCTTCGAAAGTGGAAGATGAGTCATTTTAAGCAATTCCAAATTGTACTGACCCTGAATGAATCTTAAAGAATGCAAGCCATTCGAATAAATACCTGAAATAAGGCAAAATACAAGGAAAAGAGCATGGTAATAGACACAGAATTAAAGGAAATCAGAGCCAGTACAATCCAAAATTGTTCAAAACAACTCTCGCTCCACTTTAGAGGCTTGAAGAACTGAAAAAAAAGGAAATTCACAGCCGAATTTCATCAAAATCAGCTGATTCGCCGTCACCGAGCCGCAGCCGCTTGACCCCAAAACTCCGCCTTCGAGGGCCGTTTCAGAAAACGAGGCTGTTAGACGAGAAAGCAAATCGTAATTTGTCGTAGAGCTTTTACTAGCTGTGCGGATGAGGGCGTAATGTTGAAGATGGAGATTTTAGGGGCGTACAAACTTGGATCGGAATGGGGGTGCTGTTCGGGGCTGGCACAATTATTTCTGCTTTTTTCCTCACTATCGAGCTACTCAGAACCTTTTCTTCCATATGAACCCCTAATCCACTGTGATGATGAATGTCGCGAGCTTGGCCCTTACGAATAACCTGCGGAGACAGCGCTCGGAAAGGCTGTCCCTCCGCTGAGAACCTAGATTCAAGACCCTAGTTTTCCTGTCAGCTTCTACTTAGAAGACATTCTAATGACGTTTCAGCTATCTAAACTTTAGTGCGGGGCTGTATTCACAACATACGTAAAAGAACGCAAATCTCTTTCGCCCTCAATCTTCTGTCTTTCAGCAACTAATCTCGCGAAAAGTACGAAAAATGATTCGTGGGCAAATATGCGGTATGCTGCCGCCGATTATCAAAGAGACGGTGAACGGTCGTTTGGCCGAACTACCCCAAGCGATCGCCGTCACTCAAATGCTCAGCTTGTTCAGTGGCGCACTAGCCAGTATCCAACCTGCAGCTCCATCTCCTCAATTCGTAAGTCCTCATGTTTTTGACTGACCTTCTTGTCCTTTTGGAATTCCTTCCTTTCAGTGTCAGTCCCAATGCGGAGAGTCAGCCCTACGTTTGCCTTCGTCGTCAAGTTCTTCCAGCGGCGTCTCCGCTGCAGCAGTTCAGGGAGCAGGACAAGCACCGCAGATTCCTCAGAACGAACAACATCCAGCAGCTCGAGCTCTCCAACAAAAGGTCTACAACACTAATCAGGTGACTGCTCAGGCTAAGATGTTCTCGAATTAACATCTCATAAGCCTTTCCTTCAGACGATAGTGCTAAACCAAATTCAAACAAAAGCCGCTCCTCATTCAGCTCCCATCATTCGTTCACCGCAACGTACTTATTACGAGGGTGATGCTCGCAGAGGGGTAAGACTCTGTCAAGCTTGTCATATCTATCCAGACTCTCGTGCTGCCTAGCCGTCCCACAGGAGGAATAATCCAATCAGTGATAGAAAGGATCTCAGCATTCCGTTTTCCAGTTCTCCAGGCCAGGGTGCATATCGTTGTGTGAAACATAGCGGGGTCATACTTCTCCGATGTGGGGGGAGGTCCCCCCTCCTCCACTTGACGGAAAATTTTTGGGGGAAAAACTGGAAAATGTGGGTGGGGGGAATGTTAGTAGGTGCTGGGGAAAGGGGGGGGGAGACCCTGGAGGTCGTACTGACACCCTCTCCTGGAGGGGGGTCGCATCTTCACCACCACTTCACAAATCACAATGCTGCACCCTGTTGTAGGCGCAAAAGTGGGACAACTTGAAACATCCAGGTTTAACTTGGAAATGACTGCACTCAGACACTAAAAATACCTTTTTTGAAGAGGCGTTCGAAATTCCACGTGTTTCTGTAAGTCAGTACGCACTGAAAAAGGATGGCCGCGCGCTCGTAAAGGGTGTGTTCAGACTTCGTAATAACGCGCGCGATTCCGAGCTAACTTAACAGCGCTCCAGTGCACAGACGGAACGCAGCCAGGGTACCGGTCCGCGCCGGCCACTAGTATTTCGGAGAGTATAGCAGGAAGGACAGCAAGTACAGTCTGGTCCTATCCTATCCTCCTGTATGAAAAACACTTCTGTACATTCTGTAATGTAACAGCCAGTGCTGACTGACAACCGTAGAAGGCTGCATTCTTGTCTGTGGCATCGAAACGCTATTGCAATGGTAGCGCGATTACGCGCGTCATTGAAAAGCCTGTACGCATCCGAAGCGATTCTTTCTGAGGAAGTGTTCGCGATCCGGTCGCTTGGATTGCACCACTTATTGGAACGCGCAATCGTACCTCCCTGACATGCCTTTTCCACCAATTGTTGTAGCTTGCCCGCTTCCATAAGTGGTGAAGAACTGGATAGCTCAGTGCCTGGCCTAGCCCTCTCACCAGACATGCCCAAGCGCCTGCGACGGGAACGACTACATACTATTTCACCTACCCCCGGAAAAAGGGAAAGTCGCTTGTCCAGAAAGTGACTGGTTTAAAAAACACGCCGGGGAGTTGAAATGCTTTTAATCACTTCGCCTTCCCCTCTGATGAGGCTTGGCTGTTTGAAATGGGTTTGTGTAATGTCGATATTCAGGTTCACCACGTCATAGTTCGAAACAAGCGTCAAGCTCGAAACTATCAATTAGACCGCTTTGTCGTTCCGAGCGGAGTCCCCCAAATTGTCCGACCTGGTCGTCAAGTCCGCGGTGTTTCCGATGTCCAAGCTGGAGGCAAACGCGGACTGACAGATGGATCGAGACCAGTCTTAGAAGCGCCTCCACCTGTGAGTCTAATTTATGGGAAGCGTTTTCGTTGTGGAGGAAAATATTCGATTTATCCCAGGTTCCTGGAGCTCCGCCCGCACAACTAGTACCACCCACTCCCGAGTTGTGTGCCAGATGTCCACCTTCATCTGGTTCAGGAACCCAGGACCCTATGAGTCTCATCAGACAACTGATCGGCAGTCTCGATATGGTTGGTGAATTTGCTGATTAGTTCAAATACCATATTATTATCATTGCTATTTTTAGCAGACTAATGATGGGACCAAATATTCAAACGAATTGCAGTTTGAAAGCAGAAGCTCCTCCTGTCATCATCCATACCAGGCGCGGGCGGTCGCGGCAAGGCGTGTTGATCAGTCATTGGCATCGCGGCAGCGTGCGACCTGGACAAAAGGCTTAGGGTGAGCAGAGGCGAGGCTCGGGAATGCGGCGTAATCTCACTCGGTTTGTAGCATTGTCGCCTCAAGTCGACTAGGTCCTAGTGCGAATACCCCAGCTGCACGCGCGACGCCAACTGCACCATATCCCAGGGATAGGAAGGGCGTGGTTGCATCCTCAATTTAGCCGTTACAGAAGGGTGACTTAATGGAATATTTTTATTAAGGGCAACTGTGATCTTGCAAGGAGACCTGCTTTGCGAGAATACATCATTACATCTGTACCTTAGAAGAGGCTCCCGTCAAAAGCGGAGGCGCTGATATCAAAACCCGTTTTAGTCACGTCGCAATACCTCGCACCCAATAGAACCCGCTATATAGCACATAGTTTGAACAGATATCCTGGGCCGAGATTCCCTATTGGGGAAAGACTGTGCAAACAAGCGGCACGTACCCTCCTATTCTCCCATGCACTCTCTAAGGTAAAAGCTACTGTTGCCGATCGATACCACTTTATGGGTGCGTGTGCATCAGTGGCGAGAGTATGTGTGGGCTTTTCTCGCCGGCTCTCCCCTGATCTTATCTTAAACGCATGTGCCCGAGGGAAACACCGAAAACAAAAAAACTGAGTGAGCTGACAAGGGAGGTCGTTCAGGCCGTGGTGAGCTTTTTCAAAACGATTTGTTGCATATTATAGGGGTCCATACAAGGACCACACAGATGGGTTTCATTTTTGCTAAACGCTATTGGGAATGTCAAAAAAGGAATAAAAACAATCGCCCGAAATACGCAAGTTTTATCATCTCATTCGCATCTCTTTCAGCTGTAAAGCAGAATACATAGAGTTTATAAAATGTTTTTAAACTAGACATGAAAAAGAACATTGAATAAGGTCGAAATACAAGTGCCTTACTTGGCATAGTGAGGTACACTGCGATTTCTTTAGGGGCTTATGCAGCATCCATTCGCGCTCGCAGTGGCCTTTTATCGCCACGCTGGCCCCAGATCACGTCGGCGCCATAAATAAGTGTCAGAATCGTGATCAGGGCCATTGATTACCCCTGTTCAAAGGGTTTCAGCGAAAAAATTTTTTTCGAGTTTCTCTAGTGTCATGGACCTGACCATTTGGATGGCAGTGACAGGCGAACCATCCGTAAAAGGCAGTTGACACGATAAATCGCTATACAGGTGTAGGATTTGTACAACTGGCTTAACAGAATTCCGTGACCTCGGACAGGCGCTGCATGAAGCCTTTTCCAGGTAGGGTACCTCTACAACGCCCTATTGAGCAACAACTTTACGTCCCAAACGCCTTCCTTGCCCGCCCGCCCACAAATGGACGACCGTTCCTGACGCTCGTATTCATTCATTTGCTGAGCAAATTATGAAGCGAAGGGATTGTTATGTAGCGGCCGTGATGCTGCATGCATACACGGGTACACATATGCAGCCGCATCTTCGGTAGCGGTGATTGGCCTGATGCCTACGGAAAACTCGTCCGAAATCGATTTACAAGTCACTGAGAACGGAGGCTTTCTCTTCGACGGATTTAGACCGTTTCATTTCACTCCGTTCTTTACTATTTCCCACTATACAGCGCCTACTAGCATTTTAGGCTAAGTCGGAAAACCATCGTGCCAATTGCCTTTAAGTATCCTCTCTGGCAGACGAACCACAAGAATTTTTCAACTTCTTGCCCTCAACTTCAGTAGGTCTTCATAGAACATCGTGCTAGCTCTGGGGCACTAAACGAGCATCCTGGATTTTCTTCACTTTTACGCGTTTTTCTACAAAAGAACTCGTTACCACTTGCCGCCGCAGAAAGGTTTTTGTTTCTCATATCAAAGGTATGAGAGGAGTGCAGTGTATTGTGCGTCACTTTTTTTGTGTAGTTTTTATTCTGCGTCTGCATACTAGCAAATGAAAAGCTTCCGCTTAACGATGTTGGATAACGACTCCTTTTGGGGGGGGTGGGGGGAGGAAGGCTGATAGACACTGCTGGAGACATGGCCGGCAACATAGTGGGGATAATTGATGGTCCTGATCACGGTTCAGATACGTATTTTTTTGCCGCGCAGGCCACCTGGGCCAGTATGGCGCTAAAAAGCCCCGACCGCGCAGATTGACAATGATGATAGTACGGGAAAGCCTTTGCACCAAATTGGCGACACATTGCGCCATATTTCAAAAATGAGTGTCATGTTCATGATCAGGCAGCATCGGATAACCGCCGTCACCCAAGTTTCATGAAGAGTTTTTTCGATAGTATTCGCGTAACGAGCTTTCTCTCGACGGATTTTAGACCGTATCATTTCACTCCGTTCTTTTCACTATTCCCACTGATTACAGCGCCCTACTAGCATTTTAGCTAAGTCGGAAAACCATCGTCCAATTGCCTTTAAGTATCCTCTCTGGCAGACGAACGGCAAGAAATTTTCAACTCTTGCCCTCAACTTCAGTAGGTCTTCATAGAACATCGTGCTAGCTCTGGGGCCACTAAACGAGCATCCTGGATTTTTCTTCACTTTTACCGTTTTTCGACAAAGAACTCGTTACCACTTGCCGATATCCGCAGAAAGGTTTTTGTTTCTCATATCAAAGGTATGAGAGGAGTGCAGTGTATGTGCGTCACTTTTTTTTGTGTAGTTTTAATCTCGCGTCTGCATACTAGCAAATGAAAAGCTCCGCTTAACGATGTTGGATAACGACTCCTTTTGCGTGGGGGGGGAAGTGAAGGCTGATAGACACTACTGGAGACATGGCGGCAACATGAGTGGGAATAATTGATGCGTCCTGATCACGGTTCAGATACGTATTTTTTGCCGCGCAGGCCACCTGGGCCAGTATGGCGCTAAAAAGCCCCGCCCGCGCAGATTGACAATGATGATAGTACGGGAAAGCCTTTGCACCAAATTGGCGACACATTGCGCCATATTCAAAAATGAGTGTCATGTTCATGATCAGTCAGCATCGGATACCGCCGTCACCCAAAGTTTCATGAAGAGTTTTTTCGGATAGTATTTCGCGAGTGTAATAATTGAGTGAGGCCTATTTGTGAACCGTTCCCGCATTGATGTGCCTTCAAATAGCGTGTATATCCGGGTCGTACACATATCGGGCACAGAGGGAATACAAAAAGCAAGAAATGCTAAAAATGCAAAAGCTGTGTCGGCAAGGGGATCCGAACCAAAACCCAGCGACCGAGAGTCCACCACACCATCACCACCGCCAGCACTATCGATACACACCTATTGAAGAAATATGCGCCAGACGACCGGAAAAATCCAACATGCAGCTCACCGCATTGCCAAGTACGACCATTTGGATTTTGACCTTATTTGCGCTGTTTTTCATTCCTGCTCTAAGGACACCCTACATATTAATGCGCTGTCAACGCTACAGCTAGAACAGAGGCAAGTAAGGTGGTTTAAAAAGCCCATTTTTTCAATTGTTTTTCACTTTTTTTGACATCCCCAGAACCGTTTAGCAAAAATGAACCCTATCGCTATGGTCCTCCATGGACCCCTACAACATGCAACAAACCGTTGTTGAAAAAAGCTCACCACGGCCGGAACGACCTCCCTTGTGAGGAAGGGTAGTGCCACCAACAATTTAGCTAAAACTAAGTCATTACTTTTCAGCGGAGAGTCAGTGATCTGTACTTGAGTGTACAGATAATAGGACGCACGCAACGTTTAACGACTTCACCATCGATCTCACAGGAGAATTCAGTCCCAACGCTCAAGGAGGTGAGATCCATCTTTACGGCGCCAGTTCTGCTCGGAGGGGAGGGGCTATTCATTTGGGCGGGTCTTTTGAGCAAACCGCTAGACTGTTGTGAAACTAGTACAGATTTCATGTACACGCCTTTCCTTGGTTTTTTTTTTCTTTGTTCGCAACATTTAGCGCAGAGGGAACGACAAGACTGTGGGCCAGAGGAAGGGGTTTTTGCTCACGGCTCGGATGAAGGAGCTTAGGGGAGGGACCATTCGTGGAGAAAAAGAAGATAGAAGATTGGGAGGGTGAAAGACTGTGCAAACAAGCGGCACTTACCCTCCTATTCTCCCATGCACTCTCTAAGGAAAAGCTGCCGTTGCCGATCGATACCACTTTATGGGTGCGTTGGGTGCATCAGTGGCGAGAGTATGTGTGGGCTTTTCTCGCCGGCTCTCCCCTGATCTTATCTTGGCGCTTAGTGGGAAACTCAGGATTCATCTCGGCACTATACAGCCTTTACTACATACCTTTGTTTCTGAGTGAGAACTCGAATGGCCTGGAACACTGTGGAAACTTGTCTCCAGGGTAAGCTTGACCCCTGGTCGTAAACACTACCTCTGTTTGGCACTAGACTACTTGGCCCGGCCCGCCAAAATACCTCGAATCATGGGTGGAAGCTTGTTTCCAGGTGTAATCTAATCTAAAGGACATGAATATCACACCCTCCACGCCTGCGTCTTGGCCAGTGGGGTTTCCTCACACACCCCTCCCCCTCCATTCCTCCTTCCCTCCCCTGCTCTCTCCTCATCAGGAGTACAGCATCATGAAGTGTGAAAGGGGTCAGTACGACCCCCCCCCCCTACCAGAAAGAGGGTCAGAGTAGGACCACCCTCTTACACTACATCTACCTACCAGTTTCCCACATTATTCAGTTTTTCATCGAGATATTTTCCGTCGAGTAGAGGAGGATACTGTCAATGTAGAACGGAAAACCGCCAACAACCAGGAAAATTTTTCTACCCTAACGCGGCGAGTTTTTCTCAAAGACACATACGATCACCCCTCCAAACAACAACCAAGTACGACCCCCTTGCGGCCAAGAACGACCCTCGTTTATCACACAACGATGCTGTACCCTGCCCCGTGCAGTGCCAAGGATGCGATATTCGCATTCAGAGCGGTCGCACTACTCCTAGGAACAAGTTTACAGCCACACTGGTGATTGAAGTTTATTACCTCTAGCGCCTACTTCCAGAGTTTGCCAGGCCATTTCCTGCTAAGCAAATAATGCACTCGTGCTGAGGGGGAGGGGTCAATCACCATTCTTGAAGGTTTCTACTAGAATCCACTTTGGAGGAGAACCGATTGAAATGTGGCCTAATTCCCGAGGAGTGGGGCAGTAAAGGGTGGCGATGCCTATCTCGAATAGCTGAGATTGTGGATAACAAGGACAACCTACAGCGTGGTCTGCAGGGCACATCGTTGTTGGGGATTCCCATTAGAGGGGGGGGGGGTCGCATTCGGTGTTGTTGAGAAAGGAAGTGGTCGTATTTCCTTCTTATGAGAGAGGTTGCCGACTTTCTCTGGTTTTTTCCTACTTCAAACGTACTTATACCCCCTCGCTCCCACCCCGCCTCCTCGACAGCAACATTTTTGGACAAAAGTAGGAAGGTGAAAGTAGGAAAAAGTGGTAGAAAGAGGGGAATGCAAGGAGTGCTGTGGGGGGGGGTGTCACCCTGTGGTTTTTCCTGCTCCACATGTGTTATAGGCCCTTGACACTCGGTGTGGAGGGAATCAGGGAAGTCGTAACAACCCCCTAAAAAAAAGGGGGGGGGGGGGGGTCGCCCGGGATCCAAATCCCTAACCAGTGATGTGCCTTGGTGGTCCAGCGCATGAACACGTCAGCTCTAACCAGTGTACCTTGACTTCGACGGAAGTCTCACTCTCAATAACTGCAGTAGTGAATTTCAGACGGTCTTGATTTGGCGCTTTTGCGTACACAGCTTATGAATTGAGTTTTTGTACCGATTTCATTAAAATTTCAGGCACGCCATTTGGTGCTTTCCCCATGCAGTTTCCTTACGCTGTTGATCCTCATATGGCTGAGTTCATCCTAAGTGACTACACGATAAACAGCTTGTTCTATTGGTTACACAGGTTAGAAATCATACACGCTTGAAAGATTCCGTTTGGAATTCACTTCTAGAAAAGCCGATTGAAACCTGCCTGCAAGGTGCGCGTGCGGTCGCGAAGCGTCGTTGTTAACAAAGACGTATTTCAACCGGATAACAACTACCAATTACCACTTTTTGCATCGCGGGACTCGTCCTGTGTGAGCGCGTTCACACTCCGCGGTTACGCGGTTGCGACGTGGGGAGCTTCACCGTCGAGCAGTATTTGGTAACAGCTGAACCGGTGCCGCCAGCAACGGGGTGCAGCATCGCTGTGTGAACACAAGGGGGAGGGGGGTTCTACTTCGCTGCTGGGAAGGGGGGGGGGCGTATTCGTTCGGAAGGGGAGGTCCTACGTGGCTATGAGAGAACCTGCCGCGTTGGTAAAGGAATTTTCTCGGTTGCTGACTTATTGTGATTTTTCTGTTCCATGTTTCTGTTTCATGTGTGCTCAATACCTCTCCTCCTCCCCTCGAGAGTAACAGAAAACGTGGTAGAAGTTGGTGAAAATCTAAGAAATTTAGAAATTTCCCTATTTCACATTGCCTTGTGCCCCTCCGCTCTACGGAAAATATTTGGGTGAGGAACCACAATTTCACCCATCATGCTAAATGCTGGCTACAAAATTCGTGTCCCACTCCCCGTCGATTCGGCTGTTCAAAACCATACATTGCAAGTACAGGCAGGCGGTTTCCAATAGTCCCCTCAAATTCACCCCTTGCCGGGATTTTATCTATCGTCTCGGTCAGAATGATGTTTTTCTTGCAGGAAACAATTCTTGGTGTTCCGCGTAGGTCCCGAAATACCAAATATCGGTGACTTTCTGAGAACAACTTGCGATGAAGATGAAGGCGAAGGATCGGAAGCCACAGCGGTGGAGGTAGCATAGGGTGTGTTGAGCATGAATATGTTTACGGTTGTCGTTCAGCCCAAAGAAAAGGAACGGCGATGGCGGCGAAAAGTGTCGAAGAAGACGTTGAGGACATGGCGACATAGGCGTCATACCGCGACCATAATGATCAAAGGTCGTGGCAAACGACAGGCTGTCGGCGGCCTTGGCGATATCGGCCTTTGCTTCGGTGAAGTTCTACCGGCTTTGAAAGCGAAATATCCGAAACAAACGCTCGCTATACTGGTCCGAACTGCACGAGCGCCCTCGGTCATTTTTAGTGCAGCACGTGGAGGTCGGTCTAATTGATGCTTTCTGGCTAGCCTAACTTTCAAGCATGAGCCCAAGAACTTTCAGAAAATCTTTAGTTGACTTCAGGAAGCCACATTTCAGGTACGGTGATACTGGATCTGGCAGCTGACGCCGATATCTTCATTAATGGAACCAACACCAGAGTACGTTTTTTGCCTTTCTGAAACAGGAGTGATAACGGGCTTTAAAGGCGTGGAGCGCTGGCTAAGCGCTCAGCTAGCGAAATATGTATTATATGGAAGTGGCCGCAATGTTTATCCACGCGAAACCACTAAAACATCAGAAGAAAACCCGGCTCAGCTGGGGCTGTTCAGCAAGCTGACTCAATGATTACAGAAACACCAGAAGAAGCAATGTGGAGGCACACTTTGCAACCAGAGCTTGTGGCGCTGGAGTAAGCTGACCTGGAGACAAGCAGCTCAGATACTTACTCAGATTACTTAGATGATCTTTTATCGGCGCGGCGGTCGACCTCGCGCATGTCCCAACTTCTTTCCAAAGCTCCACGGACTGCTATGTCCAGTGTACGGAAACATTACGAGGCACCTAATCGTAAACAAACTCCATAAGGCAGTGTTCATACTTCGCAACGGTAGCGTTCCGGTCGCACGTTGGACGCGATCAATGCGCATGCTTTAAACTGCATCGATTGCGTTGGAGATGTGACCGAGGCTCCACCGTCGCGAAGTGTAAACGCTGCTTGAAGACGGCTCTCGCGATAAAAGTGTCATGGATAGTTGCATTTCACTTATGAAACATTAGCTGATAACTCATTACCCGAAGAAGAGAAGCAAGAAGAGTCCTCGAGAACACCATAAGCAAAATCGCTCCCTGGCAGTCACACCTTACTGCGGTCCCTGTACAACCCCTGACTCACAAAATCCTTATTACATCTCATAGTAGTGAGTATAATGCAATGCAATGAAAAGAATACCGAAACAACAAAAATATGGCAGAAAAACTCTTGAAAAGGAAAAGAAACCCTCAGAAACTAGGCGCCCGAGTCTAGGGTTACGGTAGCATGCATCTTTTGGTGTGAGGTGGTGCGTCAAGCTTTTTCCACGAAAATTAGGTCGCTCGTGATTACGCGTTTCACCATGCAAGACTGTATGAACTTCCAATAAATGAAATGTAATAAAGGGGAGCAGAGTCGTTTATGGGCACGCGCGCGGTCAGCAAAAAGGGCATGCAACAATTCTGATTAATGCCCGCCATTCCAACAAAGAACAAGTGAGCTGCCCTCCGTCAGAAAGCATCTAGCAGATGGGCGGTCCAACTTAGCGGGCGTTAGAACTAGAAGTTTCAGCGGCTCTAGCTCGTTCATCGCTCGCTGCGGAGTCGCGAGAGTGGGACAGTCTCTATCCTGGGGGCTACACTACTTGCACAAGGAAGGAAGACTATGCATTACTCGAGCGCGAGGGCTCTCTTCAAACTTCGGTAAGTCGAGTGCGACCACAACGCACTACTACACAATACCGTACTTCTGGTAGCGATGGGTGGTGGACGCTGGTAAACGCTAGATTGATATCTATACTTCCTGGTCCCGTGAAACTCCGATGGTTGCTTGTTGACGCTGGTTGATGCTGGTTGACCCCAGATCAGTATCCGTATGTCCTGTCCCTCGAGACGCTGATAGGCGCTGGCGGACGCTCGTAAACGCTGTCGTGCTACATCGATATGTACAGGGGGGGCCAAAAAAAAGTCATTTCGGCCGAGCCACATATCAACGAAGTTTTC